GAATCCCCTGGTTCTGAAGTTGGGCGCCGTCGAAAACTTTTGCTTTTATCCCAACTTCTCCCAAGCGCGGAGAGACGTGTGGGCGTGGCGCCTTTAAGGAAGCTCTGGGACTGGGCTCCGAGTGGGCGGGGCTCAGCGGGGGCGGGGCTCCTGGGGGCGGGGCCTTCTTGAAGAGGCCCGAGGGCGCGGCCGCCTGGACCCGCCAAGCGCCCAGCGTGGAGCAGACATGGCCTCGCGCAGGTGAGCCAGGGCCGCTAGGTGGCTTGACGCCGCGACCCCTGGAGATGTGCTTCGGGTCCGACGGGCACCGACGGGTTAGCGGTGACATGTCCCCAGGCCTGATCTCCTGGCGCAGCCTCTCTCCACTGCCAGGCCCTTGAGGCTGGGCCTCACCCAGGCAAATGAAAGGACTCTTTCTTAATGGGAGGTGAGGGGCTGGGCCTGGGTGAAGGTCAGAGGTACCCTAACTCTAGGGAACAGAGCATGCCCTGCAGGTGGTGGGTAACAGTCGTTGGAGCCTAGAATGGGCGGCAGGTGTAGACCCTGCCCAGCTCCTGGCTCTGTTTGGGCCATCGGAGCTGTTTTCTGCCAGGTGGGGGCTACCTCTTCCTTCCCCGGGCCTGAAACCCAGGGCAGTAGCACTGAGGGGTCCTGCAGGGTCTAGTTTCCCCTGCTCTAGACTCGGTCCCTTGACCCTGCCTCACTGTAAGGACCAGCTCCCCCTGGACAGGCTCGTCTTTGCTCTAGACCCTCCTGGGGCCGGGTTTAGGGGGCAACCTTCGCAGAAGGGATTCGAGAGCCTAAGCGGCCGCAGGTCAAGCCAGCTTCCTGCCTCCGTGGAGAGGGAAAATGGGAAATGTGACAGGAACTGGGCACTTCCTGCCCTTTCTGCTGGATCCCTGCTATCTGGATGTGTGCGCACACGCATGTGAGCTCAGACTCTAGCGTGCATGTGGATGTGAGTGGGGGGTCATACAGGTGTGAAACACATATCACTAGGGGCTGGGTGAGGCCAGAGGTCACAGGAGGGGTCGTGCTAGGACGCTGCGTGACTCCCTAGATCAATGAGGGGCTGGACAAGGTCTGGGCTTCAGGGTCCAAGGGTATCTCTCTGCCTGAGCAAGATCCTTAGCCCAAGGCGGACGCCACTGCCTCCCCACAGTTCCCACCAGCAGTGCCTCAGTGATGAGGGTCCCGGGATCCCTATGAGGGATGTGGTTAGGAAGCAGCCAGGCACAGAGGCCTCCATCAAGGTCATAGGCTCAGCAGTAGTGGAAATCGGAACTTGTCAGCTCCAAAGCTCTGTGATAATAGCCCAAATTGAGGGAGGAGGAGGTTTTGAGGTCTGGTTGGAATGACCTCTCAGACTCACCTCAGCCTCACTCTTAATTGTTCTCCAGGCAAGTTCTGGTGCTCAGAGAAGGCCCCGTCTGTGTCACATGCCTGTGACCTTGCTCCAGCCTGGGAAAGCCCCGAGTAGGGCTCTGCCCGCCCTTGCCAACCCCTGTCTGCCCCACCCTGTGGCGACCATCTGGATTGTCACTCCTCTGGCCCCTGGGCCCCTTACACACCCCTGTCAGGCCTGGGCAGGTCTGACTAAAACCCAAGTAAGATCTATCCCCCTGTGCCCAACTCCACCTCGTGTCCCCTTCCAGTCACCCTCTGGCTTGTGAGCCAATGGGCACCTCTGTCAGCTCTGCTCACTCAGGGGCCTCTAGTGCTGTGGGGCAGAACTGGGTGCAGGTACATTGGTACTGATGCCTGGGAGGGGGCTGGATCCTACAGTGGGGTGGGGGGCCTGCTACACCCCTCAGGCTTACCCTCTGTTCCAGGAGTTGGAGAAGAAGGTGCATCTCTGGTTAATTTAGTTCTATATAGACAGGGTGGACCTTGGTTCAGTTTCCTCTTGGACCAGAAGGGTCAGGGTCTGCAGATGGGGCGCTGGGAGCAGGGAGAAGGAGAAGGATTATTGGCTGTGCTCTGGGGTCCTGAGGCCTGCAATTCTAACCCAGAATCCTTCTCCACTGGCCTGTGTATTCCCCACCATCACAACAGCATCTGCCCTGCAGGAGTGTCCAGCCGCCGTATCGTGTGTGTAGGCGTGTTGACGGGCTGTTTGTGTGCCTTCCAGGGTTCCAAGGTTGGAGCAAGGCCGCACAGGGAGCCAGACCAGCCAGTGCCCTGTCTGGGTTCAGGCTGATCCATTGGGTGACACGGGCTGTCCCTGGACTCCAGAGCACTGACGGGGCTCAGCTGGGCCTTGAGGAGTCCGAGCCATTAGACCTGTTGGGAGTGCAGTATGCCTTGCTCACCCTGCTTGCCCCCCTTCCCTGGGCCTGCAAGGACATGTCACCAGGGCAGAGCTGAGTCACTGACCCATCACAGAGCAGGGAGCGCTTTGGCACAGAGGTGACCCTGGGCCCTGGCACAGAGAGGGTATGGGACTCGGAGGTGGGGACCTGTAGCCTCCCCACCTCCCCCTCCCCCTCAGCCAGGGGCAGCAAGCCTCCTGGCCTCCCGGGCGCCAGCTCCACCTCGAGGCTTGGTTGGGGGGATGTGAGGCCCCTGCCTCAGCCTGGGATTCTGGAGGGCGGTGGTGTGAGTGGCTGCAACCTCTCAGGACGCCCCACCCCTGGAGATTTCCACCTGATATACCCAGCGGCAGTTTGTGGGGAGGAGAGGGCAGTGGAAAGTATGACTGAGAGTCCCTGGAAGGACAACAAGGTACCCTGCACCCCTCTCTGTGGCTTTGACTTTGGGCCTCCACCCTCCACCCCTGTCCCCACACTCTGGGCATTGCCCATCTTGGACTGGAATCTGAGGCTGCTGTGGCCAGGGGGAGGGGGCATCTGGGCACAGGATGTGGTTCAGCAGAGTAGGTGGCCCAGGGTGGAGGGGTGGTTGGAAGCTTTCTCCTGGGTTCGGGTCCCCCCCCGCCTCCACAGCATCTCATCACGGGTCCAGCGACAGCACAAAGCCATTGCCCTCTTCCTGGTGGCCTCGCCCACTCTCCTGTGATGGGCTCTGGAGGTCACCATGTGGCATCTCCTCTTCTAGGAAGCCTTCCCTGGCAGCCTCACCTGCTGGACCACTTGACCAAAAATTGCCCCCAGGTCTGGCTCCCCTACCAACCCATGTCAGGGAGAACTCAAAACGCTATGCTCAGAATGCGCTCAGGAAGTGCCTGGACAGCAGTAACCCCCATTCCCCAGGGAGAGTGAAAACAGGAGTGTTGCTCAGGCTGGGTGGCCCCAGGCAGGCCACCTGAGCTCCCAGGCCTCTCTGAACCAACAGATGGACCCTGGGGAGCCATCAAGGTCAGAACTGAGCCTGCCCTCAGTGAAGACAAGGCTGACACAAAAGTGTGGAGGTGCCCGTGGGCTGTTAACAGGTGTCCTGTGTAGAAGGGAGGACAGCGGTGGGGGCTGCAGTAAAATGCAGAGACGGTGAGCCGTGCCCAGCAGGGGTGGTTGGTTCTGGGAGCGTTTGGAAGGTAGGACAAGAGGGCTCTGGGGAAGAGAGCACAGAGGGGCTGCGGGTTGGTGACCAGAGCTGTGAGGGGTGGCGGCTCCCTTCACTGAGTGAGGACCATGTAAAAGAACAGGGGCTTGTGGGCATGGCCAGGAGTTTTCAGTTTTGCAAATGTTAAGGTAGAAATGTTGCTACGCTTCCAAGTAGAGATGCCGAGGGGAGAAGTACCTATGAGCCCAGGTGGGGCTGGAGGTGTAGAAGGCGCACGGATGTGTAGGCACACGCAGGGCACAGGTGGGGAGCTCTGACATTGACAGGTCAAAGAGGAGGGCCCAGCAAAGGGTCCTGGCCAGGTGAGGCAGAAAAGCAGGGGGGAGCGGAGAACACGTTTCTAGAAGGAGGCAGGGTGCCTGTGTCAGTCAAATGCTGCTGAGGACTGAGGCCCGACCACAGGTCCCCGAGCCCGATGGGCACCCTCAGTGCTGAGGTCTCAGTAGGGCTGGAGGGCAAACAGGTCTGTGGGGACTCAGGCAAGGGCGGACAGTGGAGAGCAGCACAGAGCAAGGGAAGTATCTCCTACCACTGTCAATGGTCTCTGGAGCCACACGTGGCCCTCAGCAGTGAACTGTGGCCGTGTGACTGAGGAACCAGGTCTTGACTTTGCTGAATTTTCCTTCATTTACATTCACATTTCAGCGTGCTGTAGGCTGCTGTGCTGGGCACGCCCGTGCAAACTGTGCACACAGACAGCTCCTTGGAGGCGTCAGGGCAGGCCCTGAAGGCAGGAGTGAAAGGAAGCCTGATGGACGAGAAGAGCCCGGAGCAGAAGGGTCCTGCAGCTTTAGGCACATGGTCTAATTTCCATTGTAGAAAAGCCTCCACAGGGCGGGACCATCGTTGCTCCTGTTGTTGGGTCAGATCTAAACCCGGGCCAGAAATTCCTGCCGTAACAGGGAAGCAAAAGCTATGAGGGCAAAGAACACAGCAGCTCTGACCCTGGACATGGGCTTATGCACAGCCCTGAGCGAGGGCCCTCCTGGCCTGTCCCCCACTTCATGGCAGAGGCTGTGAAGGAGGACAGTCCCGGGAGGCAGGGCGGGGGGCAGAGGTGGGGTCCCTCTCAGCCTACACTCCCCCCTCACCTCTAGTCCTTTACCAACACCTGCCTCAGTCTGTATCGGGCCCCACGGTTGGCAGAAGGAAGACAGCTCCTGACCTGACCTGCAGCTGCCCAGGCCCTTCTCTCAAGTGAAGCCCATCCATCCACCCATGCCCCCACCATCCATTTACGTATTCATTCACTTCTTTTTTTTTTTAATTTTTTACAATGTGTATTTATTTTTGAGAGACCGAGCACGAGTGGGGGAGGGGCAGAGAGAGGGAGACACAGAATCCGAAACAGCCTCCAGGTTCTGAGCTGTCGGCACAGAGCCCGACGCAGGGCTCGAACTCATGAACCGAGCCATGAGATTGTGACTTGAGCCGAAGTCAGACGCTCAACCGACCGAGCCACCCAGGCGCCCCACGTATTCATTCACTTCTTAATTCAAGTGCAGTCACTAATACCCAGGCACTGTTTTCGCCCCTGGGATACAGCACTGCACAGAACAGTTCCTGCCCTTTGGAGCTTAAATCCTTAAGTGGGAGATAGACAGTAAACCAATAAATATATCAGGTGTCAGAAGGTGACAAAAACTGTGAAGAAAGATAAAGCAGAATAAAATAAAGGATGAGAAATGAGAGGAGTCCTCAGCCATATGGATGTGGGCCAAGGGAGCAGAGAACAGCTAGTATAAAGGCCCTGTGGTCAATGACCTCACGTGAGTGAGGAGCTAGGGCTGGGAGAGGGGTCAGGGCGGAAGGTAGACCTGAGCCTGTGCTTTTGTTCTGGGGCGGGGGACAAGGGTGGCTGGGAGGGCTGACTAAGCGACTAACACATTATGGCGCGGTTCCTGGGGCTGCGGCCGGTGCCCCTTGGGAGAACGTGGTAGCCAACACCACACCGGAAGGGGTGGAGCGAACAGGGTCTGTCGATGGGCTCTGAGGGCAGGAAGGAAGCCCTGGGTGACACTGGAGCACCCAAGTGCCTTTGGCCTAGCTGGGATGCCCTGGCAAGGCTGGAGGGACCAGACGCAGAGTTTGAGGCGAGGCTCCTAATGGTAGCTGTGTGCAGGTGCTGGAGGGTGTCTGTTCCACCCTGCCCCAGCTGCAGGGGTCTGCCCAGTTGTGTCCCTAGGACCCCATAGCCCCACCTCCTTCCACACAGGCCTCAGGCCCTGTGGTCATTACCCATGCGGGTTTCGAGCAGGGGGGCCAAAACAGGCACCATGGGTGGAGGTTGAATGTGGGCCGGGATTTTGGGGGGCGGGGGAGGGGGCCGGAGTGTTAGTGTCACCCCAGCTGTCTGGGATCACCAACTTGTGGTCCTCGTGCCAGGTGGTTTCACCCCAACATCAGTGGAGTTGAAGCAGAGAGGCTGCTCCTGTCCAGGGGCCAGCACGGGAGCTTCCTGGCAAGACCCAGCAAGAGCTGCCCAGGGGCCTTCACGCTGTCTGTCAGGTGGGTGAAGGTGGGTGGGTGCTCCGGCCAGGTGTGAACGGGCCCGAGGCTCCAGGAGCCTCAGCCGTCTGAACACGCTCAGCTGGGGGACAGGTGGGGATCAGTCTCCCTCTCTTCCCAGAGGGGTGTTGGGCATCATCCTGGGCAGTAAGGATCCCTGCTGGGGGCTGGACATCCAAGAATCCGGGTCTTGTCGGGGGGTGGGAGCCAACGGTTTGGCAAGGGGTGGGTAGAAGTCTGGCATTCCTGACCAGATGGCTTCTGAGCAGGAGGGAGTCATTTAGAAGGGCCCGGTGAGGTAGAGAGTTGTCAGGACCTCCCTCCTGCCCTCCGAGGGGCCTGGCGTGCTGGACAGGGGCCTCGGTGGCCCTGATTATGATCCCGTGTCCTGGGGATGCTCGCAAATGCTGCCCACAGGGGGTCTGGCTGGAGGCCATGAAAGGGCCACTGCGTAGGGAGGAGGAATGGGAAAGGGCTGCAACCAGCAGAGTGGTGATCAGGGCGGAGGGGGGGGGGGCTTCCAGAGGCCTCTAGATCTTTCCAGTTTCTCTGCTAAAACTGAGGCAGCAGGCGTCATGATGCCAGCCCTCAGGATGGACTTCCTCCACCTGGGAGAGACCGAGGTTCTCCCTCCAGGGGCTTCCCTGATAGCATCACATGCTGTGACCCTGGGGAAGCCATCTTGAGGGCCCTGTCCCCAGTCAGCTGGAGCCCCTAGGCAGGTGGTCTGGGGTGAGGCAGAGCCCCTTGCGGAGGGCTGCTTTAGCATCTGCCTCCAGGCCAAGGGAGAATCAGGCCTATGGTCTGCAAGCCCAGTCCTGACTGCACGGTGGGGAGGAGGCAGCGGGGGTGGGGTGTCCACCCCCCATGGTGGGGCCCCCACCCTAGCTGGACACGGAGGGGCCTGTCCTTGGCTGTTCCTGATGGAGGAAGAGCACACAGGCAGAGATGTCTGGGCTGGAAAAGCTCAGGGACTGTTCTGGAAACTGAGGGCGGTGATGGGAAGAAGGGGGTTGTGGGGACAGACCCCCCCCCCCCACAGCAGTGATTGGTGCGCCCACCCTTCCAGGCGCCATGATGAGGTGACACACATCAAGATCCAAAACACGGGCGACTACTATGGCCTCTACGGAGGGGAGAAGTTTGCGACGCTGGCCGAGCTGGTGCAGCACCACACAGGCCAGCACGGGGGGCTGCTCCGCGAGCGTAGCGGGGCCCCCGTCGAGCTCCGGCACCCACTGGGCTGCCGGGACCCCACATCTGAGCGGTGAGCGGCAGGCATCTGCATGTTTGTGAACGTGTGCATGTCCGAGGGGCGCGGGGTGTGCTGGGCATGGCCCCCGGGCGTCCTCTGCCCTCCACGGCTCAGGCTCAGGCTTGGGCACAGCTGCAGCAAAGTTGAGGGAGTGTCCCCTGGGGTTCTGGGCACTCGCTGCAGGGGTGGGAGTGTACAGCAGGAGCCCTGTAGCCAGTCTTGTACCTTCCCTCTGGCTGGTGACTCACGTGGGCAGTTTTCTCCAGCCTGTTTCCCTGCCTGCCCTGCTGAGGCCTGAAGAGGCTGCATCTGCCAGGGAGGGGGCATGGAGCGGGTCTGGGAAGGTGGCCCTGCCCCTCCTTGCTGGGGACCAGGCTGCCACCTGGTGGCCACCCTGGGCCCCGCAGAGCCCACCTGTCTTGACTCCTGCCTTCTCCTGGGTAGGGTGAGAGTCAGAGAGCTGGGCAGGGCAGGTGTACTGCCGGGGCCCTTGAAGTCTGAGTGGGTCTGTCTGTCTGTCCCTGTGTCTGTGTCCTGGCTTGGAGCCTTCTGGCTGCAGGTGGGTCCGTGTCCCCTCACCTGGCCAGGCCATGGCCTCCAGTCTCACCTGCACTCCTTCCCACCTCCACCTGGGCCAGGTGGTACCATGGGCACCTGTCTGGACAGGAGGCCGAGCAGCTGCTGATGGCAAAAGGACATCCAGGCACCTTCCTGGTGCGGGAGAGTCGGAGCAAACCCGGGGACTTCGTGCTGTCGGTGCTCACGCAGCCGCTGGACAAGGCAGACCGCCGGCCGCGGGTCACACACATCATGATCCGCTTCCAGGTGGGAGGTGGCAGCAGGGGTGAGGTAGGGCTGTGGCTCTGGAGGCGGGCAGCGGCCGGGCCCCTCAATGCTGCCCCTACAGCCAGACGGCACGTATGACGTGGGAGGTGGGGAACGGTTCGACACCCTCAGAGACCTGGTGGAGTGCTACAAGAAGAACCCCATGGTGGAGAAGTCGGGGGTCGTGGTGCACCTCAAGCAGGTACGCCCCAAGGCACATGACCCTTAGGATCCGGAGCGAGCTGCACCCCTGGGGTGGGAGGGCCCCAGGGGCAGTGGTGCCCAGGAAAAAGGATGCTAGCCAGTGCCGAGGGCAGGGTGGCCAATCTGGGGCCAGAGCAGCCGCCCCTGGGGGGCGCTGTGGGGTCTGCTGGACCCTGCTAAGCCTGGACGCAGGCCTCTCCGTGCCAGCCCCTCAAGGCCACGAGGATCAATGCCGCAAGCATCGAGAGCCGAGTACAGGAGCTCACCGGGGCCACTGACGCCGGCGAGAAGGCCAAGCAGGGCTTCTGGGAGGAGTTTGAGGTGCCCGCCCCTCTCCCCACCGCCCACTCTCCCACAGACTCCCATCCTTTGGTGCTGGGGTGAGGGCCAGCAGAGGGGAGGTAGGTCAGTCACTGAAGGCTCTGGGGGAGGGTGGGGCAGCAGGCTGAAGCTTCTGCCCCCGCCCCCCCGCCCAGATGCTGCAGCAGCAGGAATGCCAGCTCCTGTATCCCCGGAAGGAGGGACAGCGGCTGGAGAACAAAGCCAAGAATCGCTACAAGAACATCCTTCCATGTGAGGGCCAGGGGCGGGGGCTTCGTTGGGGGCCAGAGCTCCATCCACTCCATGTGGGGCCCATCTGGCAAGGAGGGGCCCTGGGGAGGTTGAGGCCGGATGTCACTTCCCACCACCGGTGTGACTTTTTCCTTCTTGCACATTCAGGGCTCCTTCCTCCCTCCTCCTGCTCACCATGGGGTCAGCAGGCAAGGAGGCAGGTGGGTCCATCCCCCCCCCCCACGGAGACCCGAGCAGTATCTTCCCCTTCCCAGTTGATACCACCCGTGTCACCCTGCATGACGTGGACGACAGCGTGCCTGGAGCCAACTACATCAACGCCAACTACATCAGGGTGGGTGTGCGAGAGACAGGTGTGTGTGGCCGGCTGTGTGCATAGTCTTGCGTGGATCGGACAGACATCTTGAGCCACGTGTGGACACACCAGTCACCCCATCCCCCTATTATGAACCTGGAGCTCTTTCTGGCGGGCCCAGGAACGACCCATGGACCCTGACAGGACAGTAGACGTTGTTGGAGAGGGACTGTGGTGGTTTCCAAGGAGTCCTCAGAGTGGGCTGGACTAAATATTGGTCCTAAGCTCCTCCCTCACCTAGGGCAGGAGGGGCTGTGTGTGAGCCACCTGCTGCTACTTTGCACATCGTTTGCATAGACTTGCATCGTCCTCTGGCCCTTTACATCCTGGAAACTGCAGACACCTGGCCCCCATCCCCTTACAGAGTGATCCAGAAGAGAAGCCAGGCCATGGACAGGGCAAGGTATACATCGCTACCCAGGGCTGTCTGCAGACCACAGTGGCGGCCTTCTGGGCGATGGTGCACCAGGAGAACACACGTGTCATTGTCATGGCCACAAGGGAGGTGGAGCGAGGCCGGGTATGAGCTCGGGTTTGACAGCCCTGTCCCCACCACGTGTTCGTGTGGTGGCTGGCCCAGCCTCTCTTCTCCTGCAGCCTTTGGGAAGCTGGGGGGAGCGGCGGACGACTCTGGAAAGCCCCTGCGGATGCATGTGCATGCATGAGTCCCCACAGGGCACAGGGGCAAGGGCGCAGGTGGCCTTCCAGCACAGCTGATGCAATGCACCCTCCCTCCCAGAACAAATGTTTCCGATATTGGCCAGAGCTGCATGGCCGCCAAGAACATGGCCGTGTGTGTGTCTGCAACTTGGCTGAGTACCAGGCCCAGGGCTACTGTGTGCGGGAACTGCAGGTGTGGCGGCCAGATCAGGTGAGCCTAGAGGGCCACAAGATATGCAGGGCCAGGGTCACAGTGGTCAGGAAGTCCCCAGGTCTGCGCTGGGGGTGAGCCCTGTGCTGGGAGAGAAAACCCACCCACCCACCCACGTGGCTCCATCCAAGCCCATTGGCCTTGGGGGTATTCATATCCCTCAACCCAGTGGGCACAGTCCTGGCCTGGGCTCTACTGGGCAGCGTTCACAGGCAGGCCACAATCTCAACCTTAGGCCGCTGGTCCCAGGTGCCCGACTCCAGGGTGGCCTCACACCCACGCCGCCTCGCCCTCCCCAGGCTTTCCCTGCGCCAACTGAGCAGGTTCAGTGCCCTTCATATGCCCGTGGTACCCTATTTTCGTGTCAGGCACAGATCCCTTCCCATGGCCCACCCCGTCCCTTATGTCTAACCATCCCTTTGGTTCTTCCCAAACGGAGGTCGTTGTCCCTGAAACCTGCTCCCTCACCCCATCACACCCTCTTCCTTCCCCTAGGGGCCTGAGCCACCTGGGGCCATCTGAGGGCCCCCGCGCCCTGAATTCCCTATTTCCCTCCCAAGCCTTTCTGCTCAGCCTTGACCCTGCTGGTCACTCCTTATGGCAGTCCCCGCCTCCTCCCAGCTCATGCCCTGGGGGTGCGGAGGTCACAGCAGTGCCACTCTGACCCTGTGGCCCGGCCCCACCTGGGAACTGCTCATTCTGGCCTGGCTGGCACTCACCAGCCCGCCCTGCCCAGGGGGAGCCACCGCGCACAGTGAAGCACTACCAGTACTTCAGCTGGCCAGACCACGGGGTCCCGGCCGAGCCGGCCGGCGTCCTCGACTTCCTGGACCAAGTGAACAGGGCACAGAGCAGCATGCCAGGGGCCGGACCCATGGTGGTGCATTGCAGGTGCGACCGGGGATGGGGTGGGCGGGCAACGCAGGTGCAACCCGAGGCGGGGCCGCGGCCTTCTCCCCTAAACTCTTCCCAGGCCTCCTGGTCCGTCCCCACAGCGCCGGCATCGGACGCACTGGCACCATCATCGTGATTGACATCCTGGTGGACATCATCCGCAGGCAGGGTGAGCCGCGAGGCCCCCTCCCGCAGGCCAGCCCCTCCTATCTAGGCCCTCTCCTCCCGGCTACCCCGCCTCCCCGGCGCCGGCCCCGCCCCCCGTCTACCCCGCCGCCCCGCCCCCCGGCCCGTTCCGCCCTGAGCGCGCTCGTGCCCAGGTCTGGACTGCGACATCGATGTGCCCAAGACGATCCAGCTGGTGCGACGGCAGCGCTCGGGGATGGTGCAGACCGAGGCGCAGTACAAGTTCGTGTACCTGGCGCTGCAGCGGTACATCCAGGACGAGCAGCTGCGTCTGCGCGGGCAGGTGGGGGCGGGGCCGGGCTGGGGCGGGGCCTGCGCCGACCGCACCCCGGTGACCGGCGGGTGTCCCCCCCACCCCACCCTCACCCCGACCCCCCCCCTCCCGCGCCAGCCGCCAGAAGAGCACGACCATCTGAACGCGGGCCTCGCGTCGGCAGACCCGGGCCGCAGCCCTGGGCCCGCGTCGTCCCGGGCACCGGCGGCGTGAGTGGGGCCGTCAGGGCGCGGGCCCGGGTCGCGGGGTGGGGGCGGGACGGCGTCGTCTCCGGGAGTGGGCAGGCCGTGGGGGGACGGGATCCCGCGCGCCTGCGCCGGCCGAACCCTCTCTCCGCCCGCAGGACCCCAGAGGGCCCCGGCGGCGGCGTGTAGAGAAGCTGCGGGGCCTCGGGCGGTGACGGTCTTCGCGTGCGCCGCCCCCCCACCCCCCAGGGCCTGGAGCCGCGGCTGGAGGCGGGAGCCAGCAAGACGCACTCCTCAAAAGACTGTGCTCAGCACTGTACAGCCCGGAGCTTGTCCCTGAGTGCTGGGGGAGGGGTCCCGGAACCCTCAGACCCTCCCTGGCCTGGGCCTGGATGCCTAGAAATGGGGAGGGTCACTCGGGAGCCCCGAGTGCCCCTGCCCTTTCTGGGGCTCCCAGGTGAGGGAAGAGGGGGAAGCAGGGCTTCAGGGCGGTGGTTCGTCGCTCACCGGGGGGCCACCAGTCACCACCCGCACAGCACAGTGACCAGTGCGACCCCACGTGTGCCACGTTTGAGTGTCGGCCTGTATGTGTGACGTGAGTCACCGACGAGCAAGTGGCCAGTCTGCTTGACGGGACTGTAGCCGTTGGCGTTGTGCCTAGCTCCCCTGTACCCCAACCACCCCCCTTCAGAGCTGGTCTTCAGCCCGACCCACAGCACAGGTTACATGTGGAAAATGCTTCATCAGGGAATGTGTGAGATGCCCGTGTGAGTGCGTGTGCGACGTCACGTGCCTGGCGTGGGTCTCACGTGTGGACTGGTGTGTGTGACGGGTGTGATGTCGCCCGCACGCAGTCTGTGGCCACACCCTCCCATCTCGGAAGGCCCTGTGGCTTTGTGGGATCCTCAATAAAATGCCTCGTTCTCGGTTCCGCGTCTTCGTTGGGGTCTGGGGCCCAGCTTCTCGAGGGTCTCCCTGAGCACCCTCCCTATCCCAGGCCGGCCAGAAACCCCGCTGGTTGGAACAGGAAGTCCTGGGCTTTGGGGCGAGGGGTGAGGAGTCTGAGGCCTGGCGAGCCGGAACGAGCCTGGCCTCTCTTCACCGTGCTAACTGGCGGTGTGGGATTCCTGGGGCCGACAGCAGGAGCGGATCCGGGCGGCCTCCCGCCCATCCCTCCAGCCGCCGCACCTTGCGGCTTCACCAGCCAGGCCGGGCCCAGGGAGGGTCTGTGAGAGATCTTCAGGGACACACTGGTGGTCACTTGTGCTTCTGTACACCCTTAGGCCTTGGTTCCCAGGAGCTCAGTCCTGGGGTTCTACGACTTCTTGGGGTGCCACCTGCTGTGTCCATAGTGGGGGGGCTCTGAACCACGCCAGGGCCCCGCCCCACTCTGGCCCAGCTGCTCCAGCCCCTCCCCATCTTCCTGGGGGAGCCTCAAAGTTCTAGGGGAAGGGCAGGACTGCGCCAACCCATCCACAGCCCAGGGAACAGGAGTTGGACACCCTAGAACTTGGGGTCTATCTGCCCTGGGGGCTGCTGGGAGTTCAATCCGGTGGGGGTGTCCGCTTGGCTTAAAGCTCTCTGAGGCAGGGGCAGACCCGGCTCTTCTGGGAGGGAGAGGCTCGGTGGTGCAGGGAGGAGGGCTTACAGGGTGAGGACCCCTTACCAAATGTGGATACAAAATAATTTATTTAAAAATGTACAGTTTAGGAGAGGGGGGTGGGCACCGGGGGACCCGGCCTCTTGCTGCTGCCCTCTGTCCCCCTGGTCGCCACCCCCCCCCGCCCTCCCCACTTCCCGCACAATGGAGGGGCCAGCCCTGCCTGGGGAAGGGGCCATGGGTGAAATGTGAAAATAAAGATGGCGAGTCCCCTCCCTTCTCAGCCAAGGGCTCCCACTGCAGGCGGTTCACAGCGTAGAGGGAGGGACCTGACCAAGGCCGTCTCTCCTGGACCCGGGTCTCCATCTGCACCCTGGGAAAGAGGAAGGTGGGCTCTGGGATCCGTGGGAGACTGTGATTCTTGGAGTCTTCGGGGACCCTTTTATTCATGCCGTCGGGACCCAGCACCACAGAGTGCAAGGAAGGTGAGTCGAATGGGAAATGGGGTCCTCAGAGATGTTGGGGCTCCTCCAGGGGACCAACTCCCAAGAGCTGCTGCACCTGTGACCCAGCGGGGGGCAAGGGACCCACGCGGGCAGCTGGGGCAGGGGTGGCTGACCCTAGTTGTCAGCCAGGGGCCCAGAAGAGAAAGCGGTGGCCGTGGCCGTGGCCGTGGCCGCGGAGGGCTGAGGAAGGCAGTGCAAGTTCCCAGTCTTGAGCGCGCACTGCACGGGCCAGAGCACCACACAGGAGAGCACCAGCAGCAGGGCTGTGACCAGCGCCACCCGCCTCCAGTTCCTGCAGCGGGCCCAGCAGCGGGCCAGGCGGCCCCGCTGGTGCGCGGGGTCTGGAGTGGGTGTGGGTGCGGCGGGCTGGGCAGGCTTGCTCAGGCCCACGTCCACACACACGAAGCCAGGCTCGGGAAGGCCCGGCGCGGAGGGCGGTGGGCGACAGCACAGCTTCGTGCCCTCCAGCCACACGGGCTCCTCCCGCCGCAGGTGCGCCGGCATCCTGGCCTGCAGCTGGCGGCTGGTGCGCAGCGCGGGGGCCCCGGCGGCAGGCACAGCCGTAGGCTGCCGGCAGAATGGGCAGGGCACGGCCTCGCTGCCCGGCTGGCCGGTTGGCTGGGCGGCCGCCAGCCGTGCCAGGCACTCCAGGCAGAAGACGTGTGTGCAGGAGAGCTCCTTCGGCGTCTTGAAGAGGTTGTCGTAGCCCGAGAAGCAGATGGAGCATTCCAGCGGGGAGGCCGCCTTCTCCGAGCTCGGGGTGCCGGGGGACCTGGGGCTGCTGGCTGAGCTGGGGGACCCGGGCACCGTGGCTGCAGGGCTTGTCCGACCGGGGGCCAGCATGGCCGTATGCCACACCTGCTGGCCTGACGACATGCCTCCGAGCTGTGGGACGAACGGAGTGCGCTGTGAGTGACCACAGGCTGCCCCTTCCCTGCACAGTCTGCTGCTTTTCACCCTGTGTCTCTCTCACCCACACCGGCCCCAGAGATCCCTGCTAGGCTCTCTCTAGAAAGGCCCCATACCCAAGTCAAGGTCTTCCTGTTCAAGTTGTAATCCTGCCCTCCCCCACATGCCGAGTCAGGGGTGAGCATCTGCGGGTGGGGGTGCTCCAGGTCTGACCGGCCCACGGATGGCCTGGCCACGGAGTCCGTGCGCGCAAGGGCATCGTGCTGACTGCTTAGCGGACGCCACCTACGGGGCCTGTCCTACCTGGCTGTGCCATCTGGGCAGAAATAAAGTTGATGACAATGGCCCACAATCGTTACTATTGACATCTGGGCTCTGCCACACTGGGCCCAGGTCACGTAACACAAGAGCCACGGTATAAAAAAGGCACCTTAGAAGGTGGAGTGACTCAGCCAGGGTCACCTGGCCAAGAGGTCGGCAGGGCCTGGGCTCTCGCTGGAAGAGTGTGACTCTGGGTCAGACGAGATGGGTTTGAACATGGATCCCGACACGGGGATCTGATTTGTTGGTACACATCCAGTTTTCGGGCAGGTGCGTGAGGGCAGGGTGCCAGGCCCAACTGGGTGAGAGTCCGGACTCGGTCTAGGCTCCAGGATGAGCTGGTAGGCTATGGGAAGTCAAGCAGGGCCGGCCGCACAGGGGTGGGGGCCGGCGTCCTAAGGATGGTTCGTTTCCCAGCCTTGCCCGAACCGGTAGGGCCAGCATGTCCGGCTGTGACGAGGGCTTTCTGCTGGCCCTCGGGGCCTGGAAATGCACCTCAGCCCGGGAGCCAGAGGTGGAGGAGCCCCAGCCATCCTCCAGGATAACCCGGCCCCCTGCAGGGTCCCGTAGGCACACAGCTGCCACCCTCCTGACCCTCCTGACTCCCCATTTCCACAGCAGACCGGGCCTCTGTTCACCGGGGAGGACTCAGGTGACCTGCCTGCTGCCCAGGGCCCTGCCTGGAGGAGGAAAGGCAAGGAGGACAGTGGACAGACCCCATGGAGCTCAGAAGGAATCCCCCCCGCCCCCAAACGTGACCCCTGACCCTGACTTGCTGGTTAATCCAGGTGGACCAGCGGAATGACTCCGTGGTGATGTGTCCTGAAGGTTTGGGTGTTGCTGCATGATGACCGTGACCACCGTGAATCATGGTGAGGTCACCGTGATGTCACGAGTGCTCCCAGCATTGCAACATGAAATGTCACCACATTTTGGGGACGGCAGCAGCCTCGGCATGGCCTGGGAGGGGACCGCGGGCTAACCTCTTCCAGGCCAGCGTGCCCCCACATGATCAGTTCCTTGGCACTGAGGTCCCGGCCCTCCTCAGAGGCACCCCACCCTGAGCCTGTACCAGTGAGGGGTGAGTGCCAGCCGAGCTGGCCTTACCTGGTGGCCGGGGTTCAGCAAGGGCTGGGCATGATCCTCTTGGCTGGGCCACGGCCAGGCCCTGAGCCCTCCTGCCCAGCAGGGCCGGCCCGTGCTCCACCTGGCAGGCGTCCCCCTACGGAAGAGGCTGCCAGCAGCTGTCCTGGTGGCACCGGTCTGGCAAGCGTGCCCTCTTCTCTATCCCAGGCAGGTGGGGCTCGGGGGAGCGTGTGTGCTCTTCCAGATGCAGAGCACCGTCTGAGCAGGTGTGAGTTCTCTGGGTGTGGACTCCTGGCAGGTGTATTTATACACTCGAGGTCATGCAGGCCAGGGGCGTGGCCTGGGGCCTCCGGGATTGGCTGGCCTCCTGTCCTCACCCTGGCAGGCTGGGCAGCGGCGGGCAGGAAGTCAGAGGTGAGAGATCAGAGTCTGGGGTGAGGCTGGGGGTCGGCGTAGGCCTCCATGGTCGGGCCGGATGCCTGGGTAAAACCTCCCCCCGCAGCAGGCCCTGGGATACTGGAGGAGCCGGTCCAGAAACCGATCCACCCACTAGCCCTGTTTAAGGCCCTGGTGCACCTGAGCTACTAGGTGGGCCTCCCAGGAGGGCCTCTCCGAGGAGCCCCCCACCCCCAATCTCAGCCTCGCTCGTCACCCCCCACCTCATCCACACTGCCCACTTACATGCGTGTGCCACCCCAACGTACACACCCACGAGGGAACTTCCTGCTCTGGGTCCAGGGAGTGGGGCGAGAGGTCGGGGCTGGGCACCCCCGGGGTGGAGTCAGGGCAAGGACAAGTGAGGGATCAGACTGGCCATAGGACTTGTTTTGGGTGAGTGTCTGCTGGGGACACCCTCAGTTACACACAAGGGCAGGGATATTGGAGCACAAGGAAGCCCGGACACAGCCAGGAGGCCTGGAGATCTTCCTGGGGGGAGGGGTAATGGCTTCAGCCAGTGTGGGGTCCTCGCAGAGCCCAGGGCCAGCCCACGCAGAGGCCTGGGGCTAAGGCAGGGGGGCTGAATGGAGGGCCTGGGGGCCTGGGTGGAGGACGTGGGGGGCTGAAGCCCAGCCAGTGGTATGGCTTGTGCCCCTCACAGCCATGTCGCAGCTGCTCTGACAGTGGGAAACCAGAGACCCCGCTCGTTCACAGAGGTGTGCTGGCTGGCCAGGGGAGGGGGAGCTCAGCCAGGGGTAGGGACCCAGAGAGGGGGTGGAAATTCAGAGGGCTGGGGGCTCAATGTGGGGAGCTACTGTGTGGGCCTGGCCCAGCGTCTGCGTGACAGGGTGCTGGTTCCCAAGGGGACCGTGACTCAGGGCCACATGCTGCCTCCAGGAAGTGCCCTCTGTCTCTCTGCTCTGAGAACACCCTCCTGAGGGCTTCTGGGAATATTCAAGCTCTGAGATCATTTGAGCTCCTCAGTGGACAAGTCAGTGCCCAGAGGCAAAGGGAAGACCCGAGGAATGTGCCATCTGGGGCGGTGGCCAGGCCTGACTGCACGGGAGCAGGGTCCAGACCCTGGCACTGGGATCTCGGCAGCTCAGGACCTGGCTGACCCAGCTGGTACCCACACCCCTGCTCATATTCCACCCAGCGATGGGCAGCTGTGCTGCGTGGATGCGGGGCCACACGCGCTCTCTGTGTAAGGGGGTATATGAGTGCCAACAGGCCAACCTGGCTGTGTTTGAGCACAAATGTGTCCCTCGGGTGCAGGTGCACACACACACACACGTGCAGGGAGCATGGCTTTCAGTGTGTGACCCCACAGGCCTGGGACTCGCTGTACTGAGGAGAAGACAAGGTCCCTAATGAGCACCTCACCCCTGTCCATCTGTGGCTTTTGAGATGTGGGGTTCCCCAGACACCTAGGAGTCCTGGGCTGGACACAGACGTTGTCCTTGGCCAGATGAGCAGGGAGGACTGTACCCCAAGGGCCACCTCAGCTATGGGCCCGCCCCCCCAGGACTGGGACAGAATAGGCTTCAAACCCCAAGTGCTGTCAAGGACACACACAATGGCCGCTGCACGAAGAGGCCCTTCAGGGCTCATCTGGGGCCCAGGTGGCCTGGGGTGTGAGGGCTGAGCTCCCAACCCTACCTGCCCAGTGTTGGCTGATCTGTCAACTGCTCTGCTGCCCCATCCCTACCAGCTAGGGACAGTGATACGGGAGAGACTCTGGGACACATCCGGGCTGTGATTCTGACATGGGCAGAGAACGGGCCCTGGGCTCTGGATGGGCTCAGCACTGCCCTGTGGGCGTGAGGAAACCCTGCCAGGATGTCCGGTGGACTCAACCAGTCCTGTCCCTCTCATGCCCAGCATGGAGAACCGGGTCCCCTAAGGTCAATCGGCCAGCCCTCCCCTATCATGCTGCGGCCAACTCCTTCTGGGGTCTTGTGCCCAGGCTCCTGGCCAGGACCTCTGCACTCACATTACCTCCTTGCGCCCCACTCGGTCCTGCTCTGTGCACCCACCTCCTAATGCTGCTGGAGTGCTTCCTCTTGCTGGCCTCTGACTCTTCCGGCTTTCAGTGATTCTCCTAGTGCTGAGTGAACGAATGAATGAATGAGCTGCCAGCTATGACCCGGGGACCGTGCCAACTGCTCACCGCCCACACCATGCTCACCTCCCAGGGTGAGGGGGATCTCCAAAGCAATTGACATGTGGGGGGTCAGGAGGTGACAGGTACCCCACCTGCCTTTGGCCTGAGTGATGACCCCATAAATCGGCCTCATTTTGGCTTCTTACACGAGAGCTGGGATCCAGGGAAGGGCTGGCTGCGGCTGGAGCTCAGGATGGACATGGGAGTGGCTGGCAGGGCCCCACTGGGGATGCCTTGACTCTGCCAGCTAACCTGCCCCCAGCTCAGGTGCCCCCATACCCTATGGCACCCGCTCACTCACAAGCTTTCTAGCCTGAATGCCCATTAGGGTCATGGAACTGGTCCAGTGACCACACTCCCCACTGGGGCCTAGAGAACAGTGGCACGCAGGCCCCGGGGTGTCCAGTGGCAGAATCTTGCCTCTGCAGCTCCTGGAAATCTGTGGTCTCAGGCTTGGGGGCGGGGGCTCAGCTGGCGTGGCTGAGGGCCACAGAGGCCAAGCCACCCAGGCCTTGAATGTCAGGGGAAGGTCATCCTGAGTGTAGGAGCCAGAGGGGTTGCAGGGTGAAATACAGACTTTGCTGCCAGGGATGGGGCAAAGCTGGGGCTGGGGGCTGGGGGGGGGGGGAGGACTCGGAGATGTTAGAATGGCCCCAGGTTTCCAGTTTGCAGCTTAGGGTGGAGGAAATAGAGAAGGCTGCCGGAGGTGGGGTTGGGGGCATCTGTGCCCAGCCTGGGCCTTCAGGGCCTGACTGGCTGTACCTGCTGTCCTGGTTGAATATGGCTCTTCATTTCCTGTTTTGTCCCCAGATTAGCAGCAAGGGTTTGGTGCAAATGTGGGAACGGGGACGAGCGAGTGTCTTCGCACGTCTGCCTCCCTCCCCACAAGGATCCACAGGATGGGACGCCCCCCCCCACCCCCGACCTCGGGGGCCACAGAAACCAAGGGAGTCTGGACGGTCCTGCACGTTCTCCCCTGGCTCTCAGCCTCCCAGCCTCTGATCGGCACAGATGGGCAGCGGAGTGTCGCCTCACTTCCCCGTGGTCCCTGAAGCTGGGGGGGGGGGACCCTGAGCCTGGTCTCCCCATCTCCTTCTGGGTCCCCTTCTCCTCACACCAAGGGGAGAGAGAAAAGAACAACAGTGCCCACAGGGACAGGTCACCATTCCTGGAGAAGTGAAGGAGTCCACATCAGCCTGGCTGGGGGCCCGCCGTGGGGGACTTGGCTTTCTCGGCGCCCCTAGGTCTCCCCCACAGGGGGGCAGGTGGGGCCAGGCCACAGCGGGGCCTCACCCTTACTGAGGAACAGAGGACCCTTGGCGCAGTGAGGATGGGGAAAGCCCTGAATAGTTTATTGACACTGATTTTGAGCTGCTGCGCCCCGCTCAGTGCTGGGCCCGTCGCGGGTTCAAGTCTCGAACGAGCTCGTACCCATAAACTGTAGACGCGTGGGCCACGTGTCACGGTGCAGAAGGGCACAGCAGCTGAGCACACGGGCCCTGCCTCGGGACCCTGGGATGTAGACCAGGTGCTGAAGGAGCCATCATTCTCGACTGAGAATCTGGGAAGGACAGTGCCGAGCCCAGCGCGTGGGAGGTAGCCACAATCGCTCCTTTCTCCTCGGGAACCCCTTTCTGTGTGCAAGCAGCCAGGGACAGCACGGCCCTCCACAGGTCCATCCAGACCAGGCTACCCAGGCAGCAGTCACAGGTAAATGTGACCCTGGGTGGACACGTCCCTCAGGGGGCCTGGCCTTGGCCTCCAGAGCTTTCAGGTCAGTCCCTGGGTGGACAAGTCCCTGCAGCACGTGGGCCCCGTGTGGGGAGCAGGTGATGAGCAGGAGACAGAGAGGACAGCAGGGCCCCTCCGCCTTTGCTGCTTCAAACTGACAGAAGTCAGTAGCAAACCAAGAAACTCGCCTCTGCAGCTCCTGGAAATCTGTGGTTTGGGGCTGGGGGTGAGGGGGCGGGGCTCTTGGCTACAGGATGGCCCTGTAGGCGCCTCAGCCTTGGAGGGACCAGTTCTCATGCCCCACCTCCCCTGGTCCGGACACCGTCCGGGCGGGGAGGCCAGGAGGCCGACTGGCCTGGTGGTGCGGGGGATGTCTGCCCGCTGTGGGCTCTGATAGGCAGGGTGGCCGAGCTCCCGGCTTTGCCAAGCACGGAGAAGCCCAGCAGTCCTTGTCTCTCCTGAGGGGCCCAGACCCCACATGGCCACGCTCTGGAGCCCGCCTCAGGGGCGCCTCCCCCTCCATTACACTGAGCAGCTGTGGGGTGGGAAGAAGCACCTTCCAGCAGCTGGGCGGGTTCCAACTGGGCATCTGTCGCTGGGAGACGGTCAAGCTGAGCCAGGGGCCGTGTCCAGACCTGCCCTCTGTGTGCTGGGCTCTCTCCGAGGCGGTGTGCAGAGTTGTGGGTGGGTCCCCGGGTCAGACGTTGCTGACCCGGGCCTCCACCGAGGAGATGGCAGTGGGGCCTGTGTCCCTGTCCAAAGGCCGCTCGCGTCTGACATAGCGCGGCTTCCGCACTGAAACAGGGTCAGAAACGGGCAGGGTCAGAGGGGGGCCTGGGACAGGAGGAATGGCCCCCGGTGTCGGCTCTCAGCACAGCTCACAGGAGTGGGGTGTGGCCGCAGCCGAGGGGGAGGGAATCCCACTGAGCTCCAGCTTGTGAGCGGAGTGGCCGCAGCTGAGGGGAGACTCTGTGACGAACGCTCCGCTCATTTGGGACACTCGGTGCCCCTGCACCCCAAGCACCTTGGCCTGGATGAGCACCTTGCTCTCCCGAAACACAGAGGCCAACAGGTCCCATGGGGCACAATAGGACTGGATGGTGTCCCCCCAAATGTGTCCATGTCCGGAGCCCCAGAACCTGCAGATGTGACCTTACTTGGAAAAAGGTATTTGCAGATGTGATTGAGGGTCTTGAGATGAGATCCTCCTGGATTATCTGGTGGGCCCTAAATCCGATGGCCAGCATCCTCACAAGAGGGAGGCAGAGAGAGGAGACCCAGGAGAAGTCACGTGAAGATGGGGGACAGAGGCTGGAGTGCTGTGGCCACCAGCCCAGGGACTGGAGCCACCAGAGGCCGGAGGAGGCAGGGCAGACCCTCCCCTGGAGACTCGGGAAGGAGTGCCCCCACCCCCCACCTTGATTTCTGACCTCTGGCCTCCTGAGCTGGGACGAGTGCATTTCTGTCGCTTCAAGCCCCGCAGTTGCAGTTCGCGGGCATTTATTATGACGGCCCCAGGGTGCTAATGCAAGGAACTTACATTCAAGATGCCTGTAGATGGTACTGCTTTAGAGACATCACAGACAAGCGTTGTATGGGGCAGGGAGGAGCTAGCCTTGACCAAGTAACTTCTTTGTGCCCAAAGAAGAGGGACACCCACCCTGTCCCCACTCCAGACTTGTGCACAGAGGTAAGAACAAGACTGGGAAGGCCAGGAGACTTGCTGCATGGCCTGTGGCTGTGTGACCATGGGCCAGTCACTTAACCTCTCTGTGGTCATGGCGTCATCTATAACAGGGTTCATATGTGTACCTACTCCCGGAATCATCCAAGGTGGGGCACACCCGACCCAGTAAAACTGAAGTGCCAGCCACCCGGAGGCGCCAGCCTGCTCCCCGCACCTACCGCCCAGCTAGAGCTGGGACTTGGGGAGGGCCAAGCAAAGGCTTCCGGGGATGGCCCCAGGCCCTCTGCTGGGTATTCTCCTTCTCTCCCGACAGACTCAGCATGTCAGGAACGAAAGGAAAAGGTACAAGAGCTGCAGTCGACCATAGGGGAACCCGGTGTCCCGTGGCTGACGACGGGGGAACCCGGTGTCCC